TACGTAATACCCCTGCGGCGCATGTGCAACATGTTGCGGGAGGAATGGAAACGTACCTTTACATAGAAATGAAGTTAAAATAACTCGATAATACTAAACATGAAAACGTTTACTTATTGATTTGAAAAATTAAATTAAAAAAAAAACGTTGAAACAAATCATGAAAATTAGATATTGGACCTTGGTGTTCTATTTAAGGAATCGAAAACAAAGTATATTCACATAATACAATTTATTAGAGAATATTTTCTACACCACAGACTTAAGAAAATCTGACATTTTTTAATAACACATTTAGTTGCACGTGAACCATTCAAGAATGTCCGCTTCTTCGTATAGAGAAAATTTTGTTTGAAAGTATATAAAATCTGTAGTTTTTCATAATTTAACGAACAAGCGTTTCCATGAAGGTAATAAAGATAAGAAAAGCTATGTAGAACTAAAATGTTGTAAACGTAGATAGTTTGTTACATTCAATGACCTCAATGGCGTAGTGGATATTTTTCAATTTTTAATGCCACTGGTCAAGTTTGGCCACAAACAATGTTTTGAAAATATTTTGTCCCATACGTCATAGAAAACATTGTGAGTATATTGCTGATGCTGAATTTATTATACGTGGAAGATTTTAAATCCGATTCAGAGAAACGTATTGTTTTCTGTTTCGTAGATCAACTAGACAACAACTTTGGGCACTCTATCTCAGCAAGAATAAACTTTTGAGAACCAATGTTTCTTAGTAACTATTTTTATTTTATTTTGTGATGTACTTTCTATCCCCAAATATTGAAAGTTATTTTAATCACCCTGTTTATTATGAATAACCTTTGTTGCACTTGAGTGAATTTTTTTTTGAACGGCAAGTTATTTACTACCCCCTCATCATTTCTAGGCGTTACAGCATGTTAGTCCCACTAAATAAAATAAAAAATAAATCCATGCCGTTTGATTAACGGTAAACTGGATTAAATAAAATAATCTAGAATAAGAAATATACATTTTACTCAATACTTGTTAGGTTACCTACTTTCAGGCGTCTTAGAAGTTGTGCCCTGGCACCTTCAGTTTATTTTTTTTTAGTTTTTAGGTAGGTAACACTGTGGATTTGCAAAGATATATTACCCAAATTTGTCTATTCAGTAGATTATATACCTTTTTCCATTCAAACCGATCTCTTTTTGATGCTATAAGCAAAAATACAGTGTGATTATTAATTATACTTCTCAGAAGTGGTATATTGTGAGAGACATTATGGTCATAGGTTTATACCAATTTTAATACTTCCCGCTTCAAATTCTGTTGTATTTAAGGACCAACCTGTAGAAAAATAAAAACGCGCTACACTTTGTATTAATCAATGCACTTTATCAGTAACGTTTGATAATCGCTCGAAAGGAACCATAGTTCTGTGAAGATGTCTTTGTTCTAAAAATGTGATAGATTGAAATTATCAATAAACTGCCTTTAAAGTTTTTCTATAGCCGTTACTTAGTTTATGCCACTAAACAGGCATTGCCTTTACTTCATTATATCTATCTGTAATAGAGTAGCCGGCAATATTTTTAGAATAGCCCGTCTATATTGTTACACATTTTTGACATTTCCAAACTATTTTCATATATTTCTGTCTGGTTGCCGAATCGTTGGAATTCCACTTTAGATGTACCGTATTCAAAGTAATGAAAGGTGCCACGACGTGCACAATTCCGTCAGTGATTCTTGCCTCCATGTGTAGCCCCTGTAGCGTGCCAAAATCATTTTTGACATTTCCAAATTATTTTTATATATTTCTTTCAGGTTGCCGAACCGTTGGAATTCCACTTCGTGTACCGTATCGATTCTAAGTAATGTAAGATGCCACGACGCATACAATTCCGTCAGTCATTCTTGCCCTTGTAACGTGCAAAAATCACGTAACATTTTTTTACAAATTTGATCACTTACCAGTAATTTGAATTTCTCTTTATTAATGATAGAGTACCGATTCCAAGGTCAAACTCTTTTTAATGATTCTCTTTTGTCATAATTCATAATTTATTGGTTGTATGATTTTACACTTAATACGAGGGGCACGCTGTATATTTCGAGATGCGCATTAACTATACTAGTTAAAACCGGCAACAGTGCACTGTTAGAAAGAGCAGTCGTTTAGTAGTAAATTGCCGCATTCAGTTCATTTGCAAGCGTCTTACAGTGCACGTGGAGTAAACAAATTTAAGACTATACATGGATTTGTATCGAGAGAGTCATCGTGCTATGATTTACCATGAGCTTAAAGTCGGTTTAACTGAACATCAATGAATCAAACGGTTACAACAGGCATTTGGTAATGAAGCTCTGTCCCGGGCAAGTGTGTTTCGCTGGTATGCCGAATTTAAAAGAGGGCGTGTTTCATTGGCTGATGAAGAACGTAGTGGTAGGCCATGTTCTAGTATGACTCCAGAAAACTTTGCTAAAGTTCAGCGGCTAATTGAAGAAGATTCTCGCTGCACATATGCGAATATAGAGGCAACTCTTCGGGTAGGATCCGCAACAGTGCACACCATTTTGCATGATCATCTTCATTCAAAAAAAGTTGTTGCAGAGGTACAGTCCTGCATCACGACAATGCCTCTATCCACAATGCTCAACTAACTGTAGACTTTTTACGCCAGCGCCACATCAAAATGCTAGTACATCCGCCTTAGTTCCCAGATTTGGCTGTGTGACTTTTGGCTCTTCAAGAATTTGAAAAAAATCTACGTGGCCGAAAATTTCCGTCCGAAGAGGAAATCGATCAAGCAATGATCAGTTTGTTGAAGGGATTCCTGAAACGGACTGGTTTGAAGCATTTCATTTCTGTAAGGTAGGCTTACAGAAGTGCATTGATGCTGGAGGAGAATACATAAACATAAATAAACTATCCAAGTCTTTTGGACACTAATGTAATTATACGTATATTTTATTAATGACTATATCAGAAATTTCCTCATAAAATATCGTTGGTCCCTCGTAGAGTTGGTTTTCTAGGGTCCGAACATTGGCAATCAGCGCCACTCTGTGGTTATTCTCCGTACCGACCTATATAAGAATATTTGGTTTCATATCAAACATATCTTCAGGGCCACTCATTTAACTTTCTTTTATAAAGTTAGGTGTTAGGTATCAGTCCTGTTGAATTCTAGGTTAAATGGTGCGTGGGTCGTCCGTTTGATTTACAGATTTTGGATTTTCGCCAGTTTCTGGAGTAGAAGCCTTTCTTGTGCCTACCTTTCGTGTAATTGTTTTGGTTTAGGTGCCATCACCTACATTTTTTACGGGATTTTTACCTTCAGCGGTAAGTTCTTTTTTTATATCATCGGTCCACCTGCATTAATGCATGTCCCAAAGAAGTTTGTTCAATATCTGCTTCCTTTTAGCAGGAACGCATTTTTCTCAAGGGAAAGGGCTGCCTTCCAGTAAAATCAGCTAGAAAGCTGGAGGAGTGCGAATGATAGTTTTCCTCAAGGAACTCCCACGCTGAAGGTAAAATACCATAAAAAATGGAGGGGGCAGCACCCAAAGCAAAATAATTAAACGAAAGGATTTAGCGTTAGCCGATCGACATGGGAATAAGTAAACTGATTTACTGAACTGGTCTAAAATAACAAGGATATAGATATAGAGGATATTGCCTTACTGACCGAGGCCGTGGTAACTGCTTGTTCCGGAAGTTGTTGTATCCAGTATACAACTTCTTCCCGTTCAAATGATTGTACAAGTGTTCAGGAATACCTCAGTACCGATTGCCGGATGGCGGTACAAGTCCGCCAACGGGCCACTTAGGGCTATTTAATATCATTAATACGCAAAAAGAAGGTGGTAGACAAGGACCAGTCGACCGAGGGGGTACCACCCTCTAGCTCTTTCCAGGGTGTCTTATAAATGTCCGCAAGTTTCCACACCTAAGCTATGCAGTAGGTTATCTTCCAAAACAAAGAAATTAATGATGATGGATCCCTCGAGAACTATGGATTCCCGACATAAACTCACTGCACTCTCTGAATGTCCGGGTGGAGGGATCAACATCAAAGTTGTTTCACGAACATCTGCGGGATTCACAGCAACATTGATGCTGTTCATCACTACTTGCAATCCATTCATCCACCATGCTTTTCTTGACGGAGACAAAAATCTCAGAGTCTGCACCGATTAACCATCTTAGCTTCCCAAACTAGGAGGTGCACCCCCATCGAGATATAATACAAAAGGAGACGCTATTGTCATTTAAATCAAGCTATCGATAAAGGGGTGGAGCTTAGTCGCTTAACAATATGGCGGATTTGCCAGGATCGTATCTGTTTTTAATGTATGCATTTGATTTGATTGCATTTATGCTATATGTAAATGATATCATTTGCTACACTTATGTATTTAGAAAAAATCTATTTAATATACAGTGTGTCCACTTACTTCAACATTTGTGTTTTTTGACCGACTTTCATAAACTTTTTTTTGTTGGATGGACAAAAATGTCAGTTTGCGGATATTCAGAAAATGTAAGACACGACCCAATACTGTATTCAAGTTTTAAGAGCGAAGAATCGAGAATTACTATAAGAGATATTTGAAAAAAATTACACCAGTTTATTATTCAGGACCACCTAAAACATATTTATGTTCACCAAATTTGGTTGTGATAGTATACTGTCAGTAGGAGTCAAATTTTTCGAGGTGCAATAGATTTCCTGATTAACTACGAGTTTTTTTAAATATTTTTTCTTATGGCATTTCTTTCTCAAGATTCATACATCGCATCTTTTGAAAACCAAACTTGGTAAACATATGTTTTAAGTGGTACTAAACACTAATCCGGTGACATTTTTTTCAAATATCACTCACTAATCGTACTTCTCTACTTTTGGCACGTGAAAATTGAATACAGTAGACCAGGACGAAATTACTTTTTGTTGTTGAAGATATTAGGCCTAATAAAATCTATTAGATACATGTTTATTATCCAAATATTTTTAAGTAATTTAGTTTTTGCGTGCCTACATAAATAAAAATGAGGTTTGGAAATAATCTTTACATAAATACATAGATTACAGATTAATTGATTACTGTCCTCTAAATAATACAAGCTTATTGCTATGATGTCTTATACTAACTGTTTGTTTCTGTAGAAGGGATGAGTCGAAATTAGGTCTTAATACTGTATTTGATAGTAGTAGTATCTTGGCAGGTGGTGAATCTTCCTAAAATAAAACATTAACGCTCATTACTTCTAGACATTTATGAAACCTAGAATTTACATTAAAACATGCATTTAAGATGACATTATATCAAGTAAAACTACAAAACGGACAAAAAACATAATGACTGTTTTGAATTTTAAGTATACAGAACATTTTAGGAAACAAACATGATTTTATTAACATACCTACCTGGTTTGGATGTATTGTCGGAACAGCATTTGGTTTGAGATTAACATAACATTTTGATGTTCTATCGAATGACTTCTCAGAAAAATATTTCGAGCAAATAACACTAGATCTTGTAGGTGTCCATTCACCCCTATTAACAAATTTCACCCAAAGTTGGCAACGGTCAGCGTTTTTAGGGAATCTACAATTAATAAATATATTCAAAATAAAAATATTAGATGGCTCAACTCATGAAGATAAGTTTTCTTTAAGAAAATCAAGCACCTTGACATGCATTTTATGAATATAATACAATCTCATGACCTGCAGTTCAAAATTTAATTGATAAATTAGTATTTATATTTTTTCGATAAATTACTCGTAAATATATTACGGGTAGTTTGGTTAGTTAGGTCAGCTTCACTGAGAGGTATTAATAATAAGCCTAATAATTTTGGCAAACACGATTTTCTATAATAAACAATAAAGCCGAAGTAAAATATATATACCTAGCTACGTCTCTGTAATATGTTTATACTAGCCTATGGAAAGTTTATCCTGTTGTATTCTTTTTATCCATTTCAGTCCGACTTGCACAACTCCGTAGAGCACAAGACACCATAATAATATTCATCAATTTGTGCAAACAGTATCACAAAAGCTCGCATAACGCACTTTCACATAACTTTGACAGAAGTCAGTCATCAATATAGCGTACCCGGTGTCGCTCAAAATCACGTGATTTCGCCTCCTCTTTTATTATATCTCGATGTGCAGTCCAGTCTCAGAAAGAACGGGGGAGTTGTGTCTTTTGTTCGCAGCAGTCTTTCGTGCTCCAGCTATAATCAAATCTAAGCGAATAACCAAAATTTCTGTATTATGTACCTCGGTTATAATATGGTTTAAGATGACACACGGGTTGATGACGTCAGTCTCTCGAATCGCTTGAACGCGTTGGTTTTAACCGCGGTTTTGTTGCAAGTTGTTTATTTTAGAAAAGCGCGTATATAATTTTAGATTATTTTTATTATCACTTAATAATCGGTGCTTTTTCGTCTAGAACAGTGTATGGAAGGTTTATAAAATAAACCTTTCATAATATTAATGGGAGAATGTTTTTTTTTTAGAAAAATTTAATGATGGGGGCTTTGTAGCTATGGTAACCTTCAATTCTTTAAACTTGTCCGCATGTTAAAGAAAACATTTATTGATCTGGCAGAAATGATAGGAAAAAGAGATGAAAAAAAGATATTAGCAAAATCTTATACAGGTGGACATTATCCAGTGAGTTTATATGGCCATATTTTAATATTCTTGTGGTATATGACTACACATGATACTTTGTTAAGCATATGAACTAGATTTAGGGTACGCTCACAGTGGAGCCGACTATTTGCGATTATGCACGATCGCGATTACGGACGACTTTTCACACGACTTGGTCGTACGACCAGAGTGCACACATTGGAACATACTTATCGGACATACTCGGTAGATTTCTTGTACTTGGTGTGTGTAGTTACTACTTTTAAAAATGAATCCATTATTTTATCTGGCTGAAAACAATTTGCTACGACGTCGAAGGCGAAGGCGTCAGAGGAGGATGGAATGGATAAACGAAATATATATGAAGAGAGAAGAATTTGGCGAGTTCCATCATCTAATGGATGATTTAAAGGAAAACCCCACAAAGTTTTTTGAATATTTCCGTATGAGTTTAGAAACTTTCAACTATACCTTGGAACATGTTAAGTCTGACCTGACTAAATACAACAATTTTCGCCGTGTGATATCCCCTGAACAGCGTTTGACTGTGACACTGAGGTAAGAAGATAAACAGAATATTGAAATTATAACTTAATTAACTTTTTATTCTTCAACATAAACGTTTTTTGAAACAAATAAATTTTTGAACAAACGTCATTTAACAGAAATAGAACACAAATAAACTTCTTTGTAACTGAACTAAACCTATTTCTAACGGATATAAAAATAAAGAACCTCTCTCAGATTTATTTGGAGACATTTTGGAACAGATTAGCTTCTTTTTTCGATGTCTGTTGGATCAAAACTTGTGAAAAAAGTCTGAAGCTGTGGCGGATTGTGCTGTGTGGGTAACTGACGAGTTCCTTCCAAAATTACGTAGCTTGTACTGGGTTGGGCGCTCGAACAATCACTTAGCCAGTCTTCACTCGATGACTGGTAGCCTGGACTGGGAGTTGGTAAATATGATGGAGTGGGTTGATTCTTCATGAGAACTTGCATCAAGTCCGCTCAAGTCCGTTCAATAATAATCGTATATAATTTTTTCTAGCATTAAGAAGAAAAATATTCTGTACTTAGAAAAATGAATGTTTGTTTACAAAATACATACCTGTACACTTCATTTCTGATGCTATTTCTTTCCAAGCCTTTCTTTGCAAATCTCTCGAATGGTAATTTTCACTTTTTAAATTCCACAAACACTCTTGTTCGTGAACCAACATTATTAGTCTTTCTGTATCCATTTTTTCCTATACAGAAAATTAATAAGCACGCACGACTATACCACAAAATCCGAACCCGTTTGGATCGAGTCGCTTGTCGGTCCTATACGTGCGTAGTCGTACGAGCAAATCGTCTGCAGTGTGAGAACAGATATGCATTTACGTAAGTTGGGAACCTTCGTGTGTAATCGGACGATTACACACGACTCCAGGTCGCACATAGTCGGCTCCAGTATGAGCGTACCCTTAGGCCCGTATCGTCCCTACAATTGTAGGGAAGACTGACGATACGGGCCTTAAAGTGTCCCCAACAACAGTAATGAGCATATCTAATAAGGTGCTCTACTTTATGCTACAATTGAAGTCAGCCTGTATCAAGTACAACCTCTTTTTGTTTGTAGGGTCAGAAGATCACCAGTATACTTTGGGGATTTCAAAATTTCTGATTTAAATAATGTGCAGCGTCAGAAGAGATTTTGGAAAACTGCTCATGAAACTGTTCATAAGTACAAAAAAAATTAACAAGTACAATCAGTGTAAAATTCGTAAACAAAGAAATAAAATAAAAAGTCTGAATAGTCTGGTAGATGAACTACTTAAGGAGAAGAGAATATCTGCAGCTCAGTCAATAGTATTGAAGGTAGACATTTCATGAACCTTGTTGTTGTTTATTTTCATTTGTAAAATTTTCATTTCAATTGTTGAACTCTGTTGAATATATATTGGTTACTAGCTAGAGTGATCATTTTACCATCACAGTATTTAGGTTTTACATTTAGTGCATGAAATGTTTAGCTTAAAATGATGATGCATGCATACATTTTGTTTTTACAGGAAAGTCTCCCAGAAACCCAAAAGCAACTGCTTTTCAGGCAGTTGAAAAAAGGAAAATCTAACAAGTATAGCCCAGAATTAAGGTGTTTTGCACTAACATAGAATTTTTATTCATCATCAGCATACAACTATGTTAGAAAAATATTTGGAAAAAATGTTCTACCACATCCACACACACTTTCAAAATGGTGTAGATGGTACACCTGGATATAGTGCAGAAGCACTTCGTGCTATCAAAATTAAGGTGGATGTTGATAAACAAAAGGGAAAACAGCTTGTTGGTGCCTTGATGCTGGATGAAATGTATATTCGTCAGCATGTACATACATTGGATAGGAAGTAGATTAGTAGGCTACATAAATATTGGTGTTGCAATGCAAAGCAGTGAGGAGATCCCAAAGGCTACAAAAGCTTTAGTTTTCATGGTTGTTTATATTAACAGTAGATGGAAAGTTCCAATAGCATATTTTCTAGTAGAATATTCATCGGCTGAAAAAAAGGCTACCTTTGTGAGGGGCTGTTTACTGCAATTAGAAAGCACTGGAATGTTAATTAAGAGTTTGACTTTTGATGGTGATGCATCCAATATCCTTATGGCCAATTTATTAGGTGCATTTTCCAGGTACTAAGCCTTTTTTCATAAACTCTCTCAATAATGAGAAAATACATATGTTATAATATTAGATGCTTGTCACATGATTAAATTGGTGCGCAATACTTTAACTGACTATGGTGTTTTAAAAGTTGGTGGAGGGAATGATATTAGGTGGGAATATTTCAAACAGCTTGTCAACTTGCAAGAGGATACAGGTCTACATTGCGCCACCAAGCTAAGGAGGAGACACTTGAACTACTACAAAGAAAAAATGAGAGTAAAGTTAGCAGTACAAACATTTAGTTCAAGTTTGAGTGATGCCTTAGAGTATTGTGCAAAAGATTTAAATATACGTTCTTTTCAATATGCAGAAGCAACTGCAACATATTGCAGAAATATAAATGATATATTTGATCTGTTAAATGTAAGAAACTTTTTTGGCTCCACCCAGTTCAAAAAACCTTTGTATAGGGGTAATGAGGAATTTCTAACAAATTTTGTAAATAGTTCTATTAGATATTTAAGCACACTAACAACCTATGAAGGTGTTAATATATTAGAAACCAGTAGAAAAACAGGTTTTTTGGGCTTGATAATTTTTATTAATTCACAGCGAAATCGCTTCGTCTGAAAGTGCAAATTGCCTTGCTATGGATCATAGATCTATTTTAAATGTCTCCTCCAGAAAAATGAAAAACCCTTGCTTTGATCTTTTGTACAAATTTGAGGAAGATTCTTCTCCTAATTTGCAGGAGCAGTATACTGTCAATCACCACAAAATTTTAAATTGTGTATATATTTGTGATGTAGTTCAATATATAGCAGGTTTTGTTAGCAAAAAAATTGTTCAAACCTTGAATTGTAATTAATGTGCCCAATCAGTGACAACATCTGATTCTGATTGCATGCTGCTGAATCGGAAAAATAGAGGAGGTTTAATCAAGCCTACAAAAGATGTTGTATGGTTGCAGAAGGTATAATAAAAACTGAAACAAACTTTTCTCATCCTAATATAATGTTAAGATTGGTATCTGCTGCAATGAGAAATTTAAATTTGAACGAGGTTTTTTTATGTTTGTCTAAGCACTCTCTAGAGCAAGACTCACTTGATGTACATATCATTTAATTGGTCAGACTTATCAAGAAAAATTATTTCACTATTCGGCTTCACCTCATAAATTCCACAAAAAATCAAATAACAGACAGAAGCAAAGGTTAACAAAAACGATTCATTTTAAAAATCAGTAAATCGGCAATTTTTAAATTAGGTATAAACATATAAATTCACAGATGAACCCACTACTCATTAATAATCTTTTAAAACTTCCATTTAATTTTTTTATCAGGGACATAATTTCTAGAATGAACTATGGCATAACCTATATTGTATTATAATGAAAAACTGTGCATCTACAGTATTGTTAATGTGCACAAATATTTTGTATACATATGTATATATAAGGGTTTTTTCTTTGTACACTTTAATCTCTACAAAACTGGACGTGTTCCCACTACATTTAGTGTTGACAGCTACAGTACTATAAAAATAAATTTAAATGTGCATAAATACTATTTGGAACATTATAAAGATATATAGAAAATAACATGTATTTATTGTGATATTTCTTATATCTCTTATTTTTTATATGTAAGATATAGCATATTAGAGCAGTTAAGTTAATTATAAGCAGGCATGTAATCTCTTTGCTACCTGAATTATGTTAAATACTAATTTTTATATCATCAAATGTGTAAAGGAGAATTTATTGTCAAGTTTCATACATATGTATATATAATTAAATAAACTTGTTTTTTTAATTATAATTACGTTTCCAGGATTTTATCTCGTTCCAGTTGCCTGAATAACTTTTAAATCTTCTCTAAGAATCCTCAGTTTCCTATGCAA